GACAGACTTGCCGTTTATTAGTAGTCTGTTAAGTGAAGAGCGGAAAAGTGTCAACGGGCTTGCCATGCGAGTTTCTTCTGGAAGCCTATTCCAATGTGTGAGAGTTTATTGAGGAAGAAATCATCTCGCAACTTCGTCGTACAACACTCAGTTTCGACCAATACTTTGTGGTTGCGCATATCGTACGTAGACGTTACAACTAGCTTGATTTGCGGACCATGAGAGTGCAAGTCCTGATGAAGTAACTTATAATAAAATAAAAAGTTCAGTTTAAGTTTCCTCTTCCAGAGTGGTTCTGGCCCCAACATGTCACATCTGGAAGCGCATACCAGATTGCAATCAGTTCCTAACGTTCTGAAGGTGAGGTAACGTTGTACCCCTTTAACTTTCAGTTTGTCACTTCTATGGAGGCCACTGAGAATAAACGGATAATATTCTAAAAGTGAGCGAATGCACACTTTATAGAGTAGAACCTGTGAAACAGCGCTATAGAAGTTGCGAATGATACATCCCAAGAGTTTGCGTGACTTGGATCTGATATATGCTGTTTGTTCCGAGAATGTCAAGACTGTGGAGTATCTGATGCCAAGATCTAGCACAAAAGCTAGTCTAGGAAGCTGTTTTCCGCATACCTCAAGGGCCAGGTCATGGTTGTCGTTGCCTATAGTAAGCCAACCGCATTTGTCATTATTGAATTCAAGGTGCGACTCAACACGCCATGATGCAAGTTTAGTTGGTTCCTGTAGGGCAGCATCCAGAGTATTACGTAGTTCATGAGAGTGACAAGTGTACACAACCTCCAAGTCATCGGCGTATAGGAATGTTCTGTCTTCACTGAAGCGGTTACGCACACTGTTGATATAAATTATGAACAACAAAGGTCCAAGGATACTACCCTGTATAACTCCACTAGTTATATATCTAGGTTCAGGCTGCACGGAGTTTACTTTCACAATCTAAGCACGATCACTAAGAAGTGATTTTATCCAGCTAAGTAAGGGGTTGCATATACCAACCGATTGTAGCTTATTAACGAGTACGTTATGAGACACCTCATCAAATGCCTTTGATATATCAAAGTACAGAACAGTAACGATTTTACGTGCCTCACGGTTGCTATGATGCAGTTGAAGAGGTCAAAGTGGCAAGTAACGCAGGACCTATTCTTTATGAAACCATGCTGAGACTTTGGGATTAGGTTTTCTGTTAGTAGGCAATCAGAGACGCTGCTTTTAATTACTTTTTCCCTAATTCTGGAGAGGACTGGTGTTATGTTGATGGGTCTGTAATTATTGGCGTTCGATTTGTCTCCGGACTTATAGCGAGGCGTTATGTAGCTAGTTTTCCATTCAGTGGGACATACGCCACTTTCCATTGATAGGGTGAATATCTTAAGCAGGAACAGAGACATATCATCACCACTGTTCCTGATTACAATTGAGTTTAGGTTGTCGATCCCATACCTATTGATGGTTGCAAGTTCATGACAGCCTCTGTGATACTTTTGACAGTAAAATTCACATTGGCGCATGAACCTGTAGTGAGCAGTGTAAGAGTGGTGGGGTTAAGTGTGCTAGGACTGAATTTTGTGAAGAATTCGCCAAATAGTTCACAAATTTCGAGGGGATCGTTACAGACCACTCCGTTGTGTAATAAACAAGTTGTCTCTGGATGCCTGCAAACGTTTATTCAAAAAGGAGGCCAGACTATGTCTCCTAGAACCACTTTTGAGGGCGTTCAGCTCTTCGTTTATTCAGTCTCGTGCACGTAAAGTCCTAATTGCTTGATAAGTATCGTAGATTCAGTGCAGCACCAGAAAGTCTTCAGAGGAATGATATAGCTTAGATAATTTTCGCTATTTGTTCCGAAATATTCAAGGGATGTATTGGCCCTCATTCTTCTTCACCTTAGCTGCCCTCATAGGAGCAACGATACCTAGACATAGCATTATATTTCTATAGAAAAACGAGAGTGACTCTGTTAATGAAACTATCATGAAGTACTCATCCCATGAGCTGCACCTGAGGAGCTCGATGAATACCTCCCAGTTTATACTTTTGTAGCTACGATACAAGATATTTCTTATAGGTTCCTTGTTTTCCTCACGAAGAGGGGAGATTAGTAGGCAACAGAAAACCATTCCGTGGTCACTGTTAGCAAATTCACCACCAACTTACTTGGCGACTGGGATGATGTCACGGCAAAAGTCTAGATCTAGCGTACTGCTCCTACGTGTGCGTGAACGGACATATTGTCTCCATCCATGGAAATCTAAGACAGTAAGTGTTTCATCATAACGTTGTGGGCCACAACTGGTTTCTCGGTCAACTTCAGGCAGGTCAAAGTCCCCTGCAATCAGTTTGAAGTCAACGTTGAGGAATGAAGCATGGGAAAATGACTGAGCAATAGGCTCATCAGCTTCTCTTGATGAACATGGTGCTCTATAGACACAGCCTACGAGGATTTTATAGTTAGTGCCATTTATAGTAACCCATATTGAGTCAGGTAGAGCATTCACTGTACAATCTTCAATCTTATCAGCTGTGACAAGGCTACATATATTAACTAAACAACCTCCTCCACGCCTATGATCTCGGTTAGTGCGATAAAGGGTATAACCATCTATGCGCGAGTCTACATCAAGGACTGAGGTGGGGCACCATGATTCAGTGGCTAATATCTTTGTAGGCTTAGTTAGCAAGACTATAGTTCTCAAGTGAGAAATTTTCTTCGGCAACGGCCGTGCAATGATGAGCAGAAGTGTGAAAAGGTTGCTATGACTTGTGAAGTGTTTTACAATATCTTGTACGTCTAGTTGGTTAGAGAAGTTTCCTATACTTAATTCGCTAGACGATGTGCCAGTTGCGTTACGGACATGATAAGACTCAGTGGTGGTACATGGCGATGTGACCGGTGAGGTTTTATTGTACAATGATTTATGATCACTTGCTTTTCGGGGGTGCGCATACGTAGTTGATGCGCTGTTCATTTCCACTGGTGACGTACAGTCCAGTTCATGATGGGTGCAAGCCGAGGATGGTAACTCTAGACTCGTGTTTCTGGAGGGTGAAACGATCCTATGAACCATGGGTCGTGCATATTGTTGATGAAGCCCCAAAGTAGGGATGGTGTTAGGGGAGTAACTACATACATTCCCGTAGTAGTGGCTAGGGTCATCCGAGTGCCGATGTAGGTTTGGTTAGGGTATGCGTGACCCGTATGACACGAATGTATCTGATATGCCACATGCCAT